ATATATATATTTATATTAGATACACACACATACATGCATGCATACATACATACAGGGTCGATCCTATCTTATTCACTACCTGAGCCAGCCAGGAGAAGGGAGGAGTGAGCTGTCAGCAGGGCAGGAGGCCGAGCTGTCAGTTGGGGGAAGGGGGTTTGGTGCTGTTACTCAGCTTGCTGCGCCCCCCCCGCCCCGGACATGCTGCCTCATTATGGGGGGGGTGCTTTGGCACACAATATATATGTGATGGTATCATTGAATGATGTTTTAGAGCTTAGTACGACCATTAAAACTTTATTCTAACGGTGTATGGCTAGCATGAGACAGTTTCCCAGATAGCAAGGATAACTTGCTACAAACTTGTGGCAGGGTGAAATTGTAATTTTTGTTAACTTGCTGCACATATTCCTGGCAAGTTGTAGACTTGCAGAGCACTTGCAGCACAAGTTCTAGTTGACACTTTTTGAATTTGTAGCAAATTTGCTTGGCAAGTCCTGCAGGTCTTAGCAAGAGCTCTGCAAGCTCGCTGGTCTGGAGACTTGCAATGCAGACTTGCTGTAATTGTGCAACAAAATTGTGAAGCTTGGCAAGTCTGCAATAGTTTAGCAAGTCATTTTCAAACTTGCAGCTCAATTGCTTGCTATCTGGGTGTCTCCATTGGAAAATTTACCCTCACCTCTTTTTCTAGTAAAAACTCCCAATTTTTTCGATTTCACATCACTTTTTGTCTTAATGACAACAGTAACCAAGACAAATAGTGAGGATGAATCTACCTAGCCAGAATGAGAGGTCCTAATTCTTCCTTACTCTTTCTGCAACTAATAAAATGTTGTCTATATATACACTTTAAGGTTAGGTTTATACAGACGTTAAAAGAAACACATGTTGTTAACCTCCCTGGCGGTATTCCCGAGTGTGGCTCGGGGTTAAATTTCCTAGCTAGGAGCGGATTGTGAAATCACATGTACCATTGAAACAGATGTAGCACAGGCTTAGTATTGCTTTTTTTAAATATATGCAGAGTATTGCTCTCTGAAACTGCATGACATCTTCTGGCTTAACTGATAGCTCACAGAGACTGAAGGAGAGACTCTATTGGTTACTGCTTTGGCTAAGAAGGAAGCCAACCCCATAACAACAAAGGCAAGCAAGAACTTGATTGGATAGCAGCCAGAAGAGCTGTGATTGGCTGAGAGGCAGTTGTGTGGCTACACAGAGACGACAAGGAGGACAGACTGAGGGGAGAGAGTAAGACACAGTGAGAGAGACAGAGACTGGTATGTTGCAGCCTGACAGGGGAAAGTGTCCCTTGTGCTTGTTTCCTGTGTACTACCAGATCTGGGATTCCTGTGGAGATTTCTAAAGGGAGGTGCAGGCTTGAGAGGGGAGTTTTTCCTGTTTAATTCTTCCCTGTCGCCTGATCTCTGAAGATGTGCTAACAGTGCAGTGATATCTAGAGGCGGATTCCTGTACTGCCATCATCATCATCATCCTGTTTTGGAAGATCCTGTGGCCTGTGTTGCTCTCATCGCCATCCAGTCAGCTGAGACAGCTATCAAGATACCAATTGCTGGAGGGAAGATACATCAAGTGCATCTAATGGTGAGAGATCTTCTGCCATCCTTGTGTGATTGCTTAATCCTGCTAGATCCCATTAACTGGCAAGGCAGCTCTATCTGAAGGGAGATCACCACCTTTGTTATTATTATTGGTTACCCTGCAAAGATACCCCTTTCCATCCTGTGGATTACAAATATTGTTTACCAAAGGCTGAGTACTCCATCACAGAATTTAAAGGGCCCCAACGCATGCAGACTTTGGGAGTGTGTAGAATTCCCACTGGCCAGTGGTTAGCTAGAACCTATAAGACCTAGATAGGCTGTTATAGTCATATTGCTTTTAGATAATTGTTGAACAGTCTTGCTGTATTGTGTAACTGACAGTGTCGTTCACCACTCGCTCAGTGCATTTCAGGCAAGGCCTCCCACTGGCGGGTAAAGTGAACGAACACCAATGCTGGTTTAATCTGCTGAGCGATTGTATCATATCATTGCATTTGATATTGTTATCCTGTTATTCAGTTTATCTTTTTCCAGGGCTTATTGCTAGTTTAATAAAGCCCATCCAAAAGTATAAACGGTGTATTGGTGTTACTTGGGTCTAGGTGAGTGTGAGTCATCACTGGTGTGGGACAGAAGGCCCGTATATTACAGCGGCCCTTGCGGGGGTAGCGCTACACAGGTTTTTGGAGCATTTTGTATGTGTTCAGGAGGCATTTGCAAAGTGCTTTGTAAAGCTCTTAAAACACCCTGTTAAACTTTTTTTGGGGGGAAGTAATTTCTATAAATTCAACAAATCTCCTGAGCATCTAACAGGGTTATTCACTAAAGGGTGAGGAGTTTGGAGAAGGCAGGAGAAGTGAACAATCTAGGACAAAAGAGGATTAAAACAAAATTGTCCAATTCAGCTCACTTTCCAGTTCAGCTTTGTTGCCCTAGATTGTTCACTTCTCCTGTCTTCTCCAAACTCGTCACCCTTTTGTGAATAACCCTGTAAGTCTTATTTGGGGTGCACTGTCATTGACTTGAATGTAGCAAGTTGGCAACCCAAAAGGCTTTTATATAGAACGGATTTGGCTTTTCAAAATATTTGTAAAGCTTAAAAAATGTCGAAAAAATGTCTGTTTTTTATGCTCATATACTAGGCCTGTAGAAATATGTAGGTTGCCATTGCTGACTGCTCTGAGAATGCTACATGCCCGGCTGCCATGCTGATGCATTTGCTTCAATAATTTGAGTCACTGGGGTTGGTCTACTAGAGGCAAATAGGTGGTTCACTTTGCTGGGGAATTTTCCTCTAGCTTAGTGAATGAGGTGAAGCTCTGCTGACTTCCAACATCCAATCAGGTGTAAGCAAAAATGAATTGTTTTCTATTTTTCTTGCACATGATTGGGTATTCTATGCAAAGTGAATTTTTTGCCACACTCACCAAGCGAAGGTAAAATTCTCTTGCAAAGTGAACAGCCTATTGGCCTCCAGTAAATCAACCCCATTGACTTAGAACGTGGCTAGTAATAAGGAATTGCAACTTTCCTTGACTTATTTGCTATATGCTTGTTCTAGGACTGTGTGCCAGGAGTATTCAAGCCAACCATAATCAGGCAAAGAGACCAACAGTGGATGCCATATAGTGTTATTCTCTCATGACACGTCTACTTTTACGATGCACGTGTATGATACAACCTTTCCTCTTGATCTTGATCAGCTTGAGCAGCTTCGTTTTCACCGCCAACCAGTGAATTTACACTGTGTGGCTATATGGATTGGAAGTGCACAAACAACCAAGTGATATAGAATCTCTCATCCAATATATACTCATTATTTAAATGTCAGGACTCTGAAAACAACTGCTTAAGATTTTCAGCAAAAATAGTAGACCGTTCCTTGAGCAGCTGGGAATCTCAATAGTCCTAAATGTTGTGCTACCTCAATAGAGAAATAACAGCCTTCACTCCTCTGTGTAAAAAACAAAACAACTAGGTCCCTAATTCAGCTCTAACATGGCAGTTGCACGAGTTGTATTGATCTTTCCGATGTCCGTGATATTGACTGAAACATGTGACATGATGATGCTAATGATGAATTAGGTCACTGGGGAGGACTCAAGTACACAAAAACAAATGTATTTTGAATGTTCAAATTACGAGTCTAAGAGAAATCTCATTCTATAGTGGACATATGAGTGCAGTACATAAGGAACTTTATCTTACGTAAATGCATTGATAATCCATGGAATGAAAATACATACTCTCCCTAAAAAAAGAAAAACAAATCCAGCTAGTGAATAAAGGAACTTTAAAACTGTGAAATGTTTGATGCAGGAAATGTTGTAAAAGGCACTTAAGTGAAAAAGGAGGTAACATTTATGGAAAATCGCCTATTTCTGAGAAAAAAGAAGCATTCAATTTACCTTATGTATACATAACCAAAACACCTATAACAAAAATATTACCAGAAGCTGCTTCTCATGTTCCAAATTGTACTGTATAAAATAAATCTAGTTTAAAAGAACACGGGACATCCCTATGTACCTCCCCTCCACATTTCACAAAATGCCAGCATGCTAAATCTATGTGCATATAGCACTGACATCATTTATTTAGGGGGTAGTAAGCAAAGGCACTGCCTTTTGGTTCACAATATGATTGAAATACAAAAAGTAATTCACATCTTACATTCCAGAACTAGCTTGCACTACGATCAGAATCCCCGGTGCAGGCAAACAAGCGTGCTGTTGTCCATAGCAACCGAAATATAAAATAACCACACTCCAAGGGTCTTCACCGAAGATAACGTTATTTTTATGGTGAATTGCATTAGAGGTTGAGCATATATGGGGAGGAACAAACAGTATTTATTTGCTCCTTAAATAAATATTTTTATCTTTGGTGAAGTGTGTGGCTATTTCTCGATTGGATTGAAATACATGTTGAAAATTATGAGATACCATAGAAGTTTATAAAAGTCACTTAATATCTTGCCTTTAGAGCTGTAATTCTACATTCCCAAGTATACTGAGACACAATTTAGGAAGCGTTTGACACTGCTACTGTTGAAACCTGCTAAAAGCTTCTAGACTGTTAAAAGCTTGCTCTAAGCTACAACCAGCACTTGGATTAGGAGCTATATTCTCATACTGAAGCGGAACACACAAAAATATATGCAAATGCACTGGAATACAGCCAATTGAGACAAAACACACACAGGAATGCATATAAATTGCATCACAAATGACTGCGTTTGTAGAAATGCTTCCAGAGCTGGTCTGAACATGGTGTAAACATGGCCCTTATTGTGAGAAATCTTTTTTGGGGGGCAAAACAAGAGCAAGAACATTTCTGCACAGTGCATCATGTTCTGTTTGGACTAAAAAATAACATTAAAACAGTTAAATAGTCATAGCAGTTGGATGTATAGATCAATATGAAGTCTAAAGCCCTTGGTGAAATACCAGGGAGCAGTGACAGGACATTTTACAACATCCATATGTATTACCTTCACCAATATCTTTCCTTTCAGGTTTTCTGGAGAGGGAAGCTTTGTCAGATCTCCATTCATCATAGAAGACAGATCTAACTTGTCTCCCAGGATTTCAATCAAATACTGAGCCATTTTCTTCTGCTGCACCACACTGCAGTGGTTTTCAATTGACAAGATGACAGGATATCTAGAAAAACACACAAGATGGACGGATTTAAAATAAATATCATTACTGGGAGATGCAGACAACAAAAAGGCACAATATGCTTCTAACATGCCTTCGTGTCCTAGGAAGGCCACCTTTTCCTCTCAACCATAATCTTACCGTGGGAGTTCCACATACACCTACAAAAGGTTTAAACTTACCTTTAACCAGTTGACATCCGCGGTGTTAAACCCCCTTCCCATACATTATCGCGGTAAATTGAAGACCAATTTATCAAAGTCTAAACATATATATACTAAGGTATTCAATACATAAATGGTCAAAAATGGAAAAAAGATCTATCCCACTCCTAATAACCATATTCATCTAGACGTTTGTAAACTAACTTATTGAAGATGCCCATAGGATGAACCTCCTGAAGGCACTGACACAATTTTTCTCACAAAACCTGCCTTCTGAACTAAAACTCAATGTCTGAACAATATAGCAAGATCATTGCTTGCTGCAAGCAATGCATGTTGGGTTATGTGTTCTTCAGAAATCAAGATCGCATCACATGAAACAGCAGGGAAAGATGGAAAGCACACTGGGGATCTAGGACGTTGTTGAAAGTGATGGGCAGCAGATTTTTTTCAAGTAAGCTTTGATTGCATTATAAAAAAAAACCCCAATAGTATGTATTCCTATTACAATGCTGATGTTATAACAGAATAGTATATGCTGGGACCTTTTAACTCATTTAATTCACAGTTGTTCAAACAATATGGTGGTACTCACTGATGTGCATTCTGTGACCAGTCGCATGAGAAAGTTTAGAAAGCAACTTGACTGCCTACGTTTGAAAATTGGAACAAGGTAATGAAGAACTGTAGCCCACAGCATCCAATTAGAATCCATTTACATTATTTTTTTTACCAGTACAAATTACACAGCAAAAGCTGAAACCAAGCTGGTTGCTAGGGCTCTGTTCATCTCTGCTTCTTTCAATAAACTGGCATAACATGTCACAATCTGTGCAATGTCTTTTAGACTTACCAGCAACTTTCTTTCTAGCACAAAAGACTACCTGATTGAATAAAATTTGAATGGGTTGTTTAAAGGCATATACCCTGTTTCCCTGAAAATAAGACCTAGTACTATTTTTGGCAATTGCTAAAATATAAGACATACCCCGAAAACAAGACCTACCCAAAAAATATAAGACAGTGTCTTATTTTCGGGGAAACACGGTACCACCATTTCTATTTATATATTCCATAATACACAAATATTGCAAAAATGAAAAAAATTTGCTTTTTTAATGTTTTTTACATTGGAGCATACAAAAGCATTGCAAACGCCATCTGTGGTTTATACTTACATAACTATTATGATTTAAAGAGTCTGTAACCCTAACAATACACTTCTCTTATTTGCTCCCTTTTGGTCTGAAATAATCTTACGAGCCAACAACTTCCTTTCTCTTGACTTCTCAGGTTTCTCTGTGGACTTCAAAACATCTCTCCCCCAAGTTTTGTAGAAGAGGGGGATGTGTTCTGTAGTCCGAATATACAGTTGATAGCTGCACTCCTTTCAGTGCTTTTTGGGTGCTCATAATGATCTCAATGGATGGCTATGTAGAATCAAGAAAAGGAAGCAAGAAGTGACCATCAGCAATATCCGTTTCATTTGTTTACTGTGAAAAGTGTCACATGGGTCAAATAGCAAATGTTTTGGGGGCCTCACAGGATTCCTTCCTCAACGCAACAGAGACATTACTATGTTGTCTTGAGTAAGGGACCATACAAGGCCCTGAAAAGTTGGGTATTTGAGTTGTGTGACACATCTTTCATAGTAAACAGGTGAAACAAATGTTGCTGAAGTGCTGGTGACTTTTTACTTGCTCAGCTGTAGTCCTAACACACTTCCTGTCCTAGGGTGACAATACTGCTTCTCTATAGATACAGTACACCCTAGGGCAGGAAGTGTATTACTGGCAGGATCACCAGGTGAAAATAAAAGTAAAAGCCTAAAAAAAGGTTTGTTCTTGCTTAGATATACTTTAATGCCTCTTAATGACTACATGGGGGCAGTAAAGTGGCTAAGTGGTCAGCACTCATGCCTAGGTTCCTTGGTTCAGATCTCAGTCAGGACACTATCTGCATGGAGTTTGCATGGGTTTGCCCTAGTATGAATGTATACATTGACTATATACATGTGTTGGCACATTCTGAATCCTGGTTTCAAGCCTGCGTAAATGGCAGGGTTCAGGAATGACCTGGTGACCAATCTCATAAAAAACTTGCCAAGAAACTTCTATGGAAAAGGCTCTCAAGCACATCAGACAAGGTGGCAGAGAACTGGCCCAAAGAATCACTGAGAGCCGGATACAACTGAACATATATTCCACACATAATGTGTACACATAAATGCATAAAGTATGCTCATTTACATTACAATTTTCAAATAAGGAAACAATATACTGGTTTCATGTTGCTTCCTACTATCATAAACCATCAGCATTGTATTGCATTGTAAAGCTACATTAGAGTTATTATAATAAGTCTCACTCGTGTAGCTTTTGTTATTTTTAACAAAATGACAACATGACACAAACAATATGTTCATGAATAAAGCAATACAAAAGAGTAATAGTCATTATCTGTTTCAGTGCTTTAATAGATTGATCATTTCTTGCTGCGTGGACAAAAGTATCTGTTGTTATATTGATAATAGCTGTATACCGAGACAAGAAGCCCAATATCTTCAGACAGTAAAATGGGTAGGAGTGAGAGGCCGCAAAAACAACACCAAACATAATGTCCTCTCCAGGGGTTCTTAACTGAGGCTCACGAAGAGATGACAATTGCATGCAATCAATCATGTCTTTCCTTACAATTTAAGTATAGGTATGTAACTGAAAACACCACTTTATATGAGCCAGTACATAAAGATAATATTAGCTAGGGGGGGAACTTTTTATGGCTGGTTCAGTTACATAGCCGGTCAAAGCTCAAAGTAAGGCTTTATAGGTCATAAAATTGGTCTCTGATAAATTATTGGCAGAGAAGACATTGAGGTTGCTCTGTATTTATCGTAAGACCCCGGGGAGCCAGCGTCTTGGAGAGCGGGATCATAGTATTACTAAAAGGTAGCTTTTAATGCAGTTATGTGCTAAATAAAAAATTATTAAAAGTATATTTAAATTCAAATGTGAAAAACAATATTGTGCCGAGCTAATAATCATACATATCTAATAAATTGATACATATATAAGTGAGTCACATATATGAGCCTTCAAACAAATGAGGCATAGAAAATATCTACACAAAGACAAAAAAGTAATATAGACAATAAAAAGTCTCAAGGAAAAAACAAAAGCAAACAATGGTGATTGTGCAAAAAAAAATCCTTCAGATGATTCGCAGCCAATCTGCATTTAACTCTCAGGTAAGGATAATCACACAATGCAGGCAGACCTTTACCTCCACCCAGTGAGTGATGACAATAAGTGAGTGCTCACCTGGGCAGGTAGACCTACAGAGCTAGGTCAAATGCGCTTTTTCCCTTCTTAATGGGGGAGGGAAGCCCATGCACAGAAAAGGCGATAAGGTCTCCTCAGATCACAGGTACCAGTATAAATCCAGGTGGAAAGAGAAAAAGGACAAGGACATAGTGCGTAACGTCCAATAAAATGCAATTTATTAAATAAAAAATGCGTACTCACAATGATGTAAACAGTACAGGCATTGGGTATTGCTGGATCAGACCAGCAGGGCAAATGGCAGCAAAGCGATAAAAAAACCTGTTCGTCCGGCTCAGCTCAGTGCAGTGACATCAGAAGCTCTGCCCTACGTACGTTACGTCAAAACACGTGACTTCATCAGGGGTCTGAAGCATCTGAATGATTTTTTTTGCACAATCACCATTGTTTGCTTTTGTTTTTTCCTTGAGACTTTTTATTGTCTATATTACTTTTTTGTCTTTGTGTAGATATTTTCTATGCCTCATTTGTTTGAAGGCTCATATTTGTGACTCAGTTATATATGTTTCAATTTATTAGATATGTATGATTATTAGCTCGGCACAACATTGTTTTTCACATTTTTTAGATATTTAGTTATATCCTTAGTGCTTGGTAGCTCTTATTTCCACATTACACTTACTGGCGCTGATCACCTTTATTGTTTATATTTAAATTCAACTTGTGTAAATACCCACATTTACGTATTTTTAGATGCTTATAATCTCCTGTACAATAGCACTGAAAGTAGGAGTGGAAGTAGTACTAGGTGTCCGTTTTGCCCACTGCCTGCATATATGCTACCAGGAGGATAGAGCAGAGTGAGCAGATGAATGAACATTCTGCTACTGTTCCATAATTGCCCAATCACAGGCTGTGGGCAGGGATGTGAACTAGCTGTAAATATTTAAAATCTACAAGCTTTTTGTGAAGTGAATGTTTGGGGTTAGCTATTTCTTGTTTAAAATTTACGTATGGCAAAAATTAGTGCAACTACTTACTCATTTTTTATGAATGCATACTTGTTAATTGTTTCAATTACATCCTTAAAAAGGATTTTGGAAGTCAGTGTGTACCCATGGTGGACAATTGGCTCTCCATCTGGTCCATCCCAGCAGTCAACTGGAAAAACAAAACAAAAAACTGTTAATATAACAATGTTTTTAATGAAAAATTAGTTGTTTTTTTTTACTGAGCGATACATGGCACTTTATTTTTAAGTGTTAATACCAGCAGTTTAATAAGTAGACAAAATGATGAGTGATGATACTAGAAGCACAATTATAACCCTTATTAATGTAACCATCAGTTTTTTTTGTACCTCTTGGGGACATTTCCCTTCTCTTCCTATCCCAAGACACAACTGAAAGAAAGGAAATCAGATAGAAACACTTGTTCTGGTGACAACTATCAAAAGATTTTGCCTATATTCATGTTCCAGCATGTTCAAAAATGTGGGTTTTCTCTTACTTTCTTTGAGAGGAACTGCTGCACTCCTTACCGGAACCCCTATGTACAAAGGTGGATGCTGTAGTAGCCACGGATGGTGGCGCGCATCTTCAAATGTATAGAAAACTTCATCAGCACAACTCTAACTTGTGTCAACAATCCATCTTTATTGATGCAGACTGTCAAATAATGTTTCCTGGTCACGCAGAGTCCCCTTCATCAGGTTTTTATATGACAGTCAGATATGTGTTATATTAAAACATGACGAAGGGAACCCTGCGTGGCCCCAAACTGTTATTTGACAGTCTGCATCAATACAGATGATGGATTGTTGACAATAAGTGTGCTGGTGACGTTTTCTATCCAATCTATACATATAGGCTGGTAAAGACGTACCTGTATACCAAATATGCTTACATACACAAACAGCATCCAATAAAAGCTGTATGAAGTGCAAAAATCTTATTCAACACACCTTTGCATGAACAAATTTGATATATGAAGGCCCCCACAATACTGGTCTTCAGTACACTGAAACCCAATCGTTTTTTAAAATTATTATTATTACTACAGGTATTTATATAGCGCCGACAATTTTACGCAGCACTTTACATAGTTGCACATTCACATCAGTCCCTACCCTCAATGAGCTTACAATCTAAGGTCACTATCTCACATGCAGGGCCAACTTAAGGTGCCCATACACTGCACGATTATCGTACGATAATCGTATGCGATCGGTTTTTCGTACGATAATCGAGCAGTGTGAACGGAAACGTGCGACCGTTTCTACAGTACGGTCGCACGTCTTCTGTCGAACCAGCATGTTAAGGAGCCAATTAACCTACTAGCATGTCTTTCAAAACCTACCCATGTTTTGAACGGGTTGCTACAAGTAAAAACAACCCAAGGGCATCAATCAGATTTTAGTCTACTGAATTCTTCATTTCTAATGTAGACTGTCTTAAAAACAAACAAGGAAAAAACTCCACTTTCAATGACCATATAACACCAGTTAAAACTCAGCTCACATTATTGAGCTCTGTAAAAACAACAAAATTCTTTCCAACGAAAAAGCTAAAAGGGAGCCTAGAAAATGTACAAAAGGAGACTAGAGCGCCACCTTGAGGTTGGAAATGAAAGTATAAAATATTTACATGCAAAATGTTATATTTTTACAAAATTTTTAATTATGACTTATGTAGGGAACCAGTCTCAATGTAGAGGCAAACTTGCAGTCTCTTCAACAAAAATGCCAGCTTTAATTCCAGACAGCAATCGCTTGACAAAAAAAAAAAGGTTACAGGCATCCAGCCCAAACATTTAAATTGTCATAAACAAATAAAAGTCCGCTACACTGAGCCTTACTGGGTATTAGCAATTAGACATGTGCACTGCCAAAAAATTCGTTTAGTTTCGTTTTAAATTCGGATATGTGTTATTTCGTTTTTCAGGATTTGGGTGTGAAAGTCAATTCGGATTCGGAATTCGGATTCGGACGAAATTCGGATTAGCAATAGTCCTCTGAGCTGGGTCTGTTTCCTCTATGGGAACAGTTACAGTCCATCCCCAGAACCCTGTCCTTCTGACAGGCTTGGCTCCAAACACAGAACTTGCTGCATTCAGCACACTGTCTCTCCTTGCACTGAGACACACACTTCCCCCCCAGCTAGGTGCAGCTGCACACTAATGAAGTCCTGTGCAGTCTTCACTAAACTACGGTCCATGGAACTAGGAGTCTGTCCCACCCAGAGCTCTATCAGACTCTAAGTAACAACAGCCCCAGGACTTGTTTTACCAATACAAGGTAAAGAGCTATTTTTCTTTACCTCCAAATCTATGCTGGCATTACCTTAGATGATGAATCTAAGGATCCGTGGAGAAATGTATCTACCATCTATCACTTTTCCTGCCAACCTGGCAGGTTTTACTGGCACCATGTTACACTTATCAAGAACAAAACTATTTATTGAACCACTACATCGCCTTGAAAGGTAACCTCATACATCATTCTACTTATCATAATTTTCCAGTTACCATAAAAGACAGAGCTTGATGTTCATAGGGTTTCCCAAAGAAAGATAAATGGTGTGATTTAGCCCAAACTGATTTTAATGGGCAATGTTTTCGTTTGAAGAAAAAAAAAACACATTTCCATGTGTCAACCTGTCAGTGGTGACAATAACATAACAAAAAAATTCCTATTTGTAATGAGGGTTAGGGTTCTGGTTCTTCTGTTCTTCAATACTTAATGCCATGATCCTAGCTGAGTAGGGAAAAATTGGCACAGGAACAGTCCAGGACAGTTGAAAGGTGCTCCTGTAACCCTCAGAAGTTATTTAAACGCTCAAATATACCCTCCAGAAAAATTAACCATGCAATTCGGGGTTTTGAATGTAATAAGACTGTGCAAGCTTACGTGTTTTAGATGTCTAACCATAAATGTTAAGGTGAGAAGGGACAATCTGAAACAAAAAAAACATGGAGAGCGCTCCACTCTAGTATGGTCAAATCTCTTACTCGTTGTTTTTTTGGGGGGATGGTGTGCATAAACTCTTCAAAAAACGGGAGAGGAGCCCGGTAAAACACATTGATTAAAACAGTACAAAGAAGAGTGCAACTACCTGGGATGACACATGAATAAATAAATAAATAGGTAAATGCTGCACAGCCTGCTGTGACTGGCTAAGTGGTTAGGATAGAAGTGGTGAATATGTGACTTACGGTTGTGTTGTCACAGGTGAGCATCCAGAGTCCCTGCATTCACATAAGGATGACGATGGTAGTCAATATACTACCGGATTGGAGTGTCCAGGGTATCCCCAGTCCACGTCTATGGCTGGGCGGGCCGAGCCGCGGTAACTGGAGAAAGAAGGGGGAGAGAGAGATCTTGCCCGGCAATTGGAAACTGCACTGGAGTGTGTATCTGTGCAGTATATGGCGCGAACGCTGGAGGGTCAAACACACTGTGTCAGTCGGGGCTCCTGGGTCTAAACGAGCTGTGCGGTGAGGCACCTCTGTGGGTTGAATTAGCGGCAATAGTGGCTACGCGTTTCGAGGGTAACCCTCTTTGTCAAGCCTTTGAGCGGTGTCAGCCGCGGGAGAAGGAATATCTTTTAAAACTGACAGGGGGGAGGAGTCGGGTCCGTAAGGATGCTGTGATAGGTCTAACCACCGCGAGGCGGACTAATAGACTCGATGGCACTCGGAGGTAAAAAAAACTTTTTTTTACAGAAATTGTGACAAAGCAAACATTTTTTTATTTCAAATCATTCCTATTCTTGAATGGTGGGTGAGGAAAAAAAGCAGAACCATTCTGCAAAGGCAGGTAAGGAGAATTCTATAGGTTTTTGACAGTGGATTGGCAACTGTGGTGTAATTCTTACCACCACGGCAAATCCAGTCAGTCATGTCGGTAACAACTCCTTTTTATATACCACTGCTGCTTAAATTCATGCACTCTTTTTCCCGAAAGCACTGAATATCAAAGTAGCCTCTTCACAAAATCTTCTATTTCCAGTGACACTGTTTTTTACATGAAAGCCGCACATTCTGTAGCTGAAGATCAGCTTTAACAACATTTGCTCAGCCATAAAAACTGGCTATTTCTGTAAATAAAAGCCTTGATTTATTTGGAGTCTGTTTAAAAGAAGTCTGCCTTGCTGTAAATGCCTTTTATCTTATCCTCTGGAAAAGCGAGGCGTACAGGTCACCAAGAAACAAATACTTTAGATGTGTGTTTTCAGTTTCCGCAGACGTTCTGTCAGCTGATCTCACCCGAGAATTTTGAAAAAACAATACTTCCCTGTTATCATTTTCGTACCCTATTCTTTTGATGCGATTGAAAAGAGACTCTGCTTTGAAAAGAGAGCAAAAAGCGGAGAATACTTTTATGAAACTCGTTTATTAAAAGTTGTAAAGTGAAGGCAGATATAAAAGACCTCTATTTAATCATGTTATGCATTCATTAAATATACTACAATGTATTTTCAATAGTATTTCAATATGTCTTTGTATTAGTAGTCGGTAATACCCAGCACATCAGCATTTAAAATTATGTGACAGTGGTCTGCAAGTGGTTTGCTGCAGCTGTTTTTCTGCCACCACTGATTCTTTTAAGCAGTAGCCATAGGGGTTTGCCTG